CTCTCTCTCTCTCTCTCTCTCTCTCTCTCTCTCTCTCTCTCTCTCTCTCTCTCTACACTCTCCACTCTCCTTTCTGCTCTCTACACAGCACTCTCCTCTCTGCTCTCTGCTCACTTCACTCCACACACTGCACTCTCCGATCTACTCTCTACATTCTACCCTCTACTCTTCTCCCCTCTCTTCTCGACTCTTGCAGACATCAGGCACATACTTCTGACATTTCTTTTTGGTTTGTGTTTTAATGGATTCTTATGTTTATTTTTTTAACTGAAGGTTTTTTTTTTTTTTTTTTTTTTTTTTAAGAGCAAAAGGAGGCCGGGAATCGTTCCACATCTCAACCCGGATGACTGGGGCCATTACCCAGATTTGGCTTCAACTGGAAACCGGGTCCAGTGTCCCTTTCTCCTGACATCCTACATGCTATTTCTGAAGAAAGACAAAACTGGACAAACAAAAGACCAAATAGCAATAGACGAAAGAACCTGCCTACCGATGATGCCTTTCCACCCAATATAACGACCGGACCTGGGAACCTTACCCAGTGATATGTTTTGATGGGACCCGTGCAGCCCCGATGCTAAGAGAAAGGAGACTCCTAATTCATAAACCCTAAACCCTAGCTAATCTTGTGTATCTTTCCTAACTATGAAGGCTCTACTTCAGGACTACCACTGTTGCTAATAGCCCCACTTAAACCCCAAACCCTAGCTAAATCCTTTGAACCTTGAACCCTAAACCCCTTTTTTTAATCTCTATCCTTCTGCTCCCTGTTTATCTTGTCTCTGCTCCTACCCTGCCCCCCCTAAACCCTAAACCGCCTTTATCTGTTTTTCCATATGTTCTTCTCTCAATTTCACGTTTCACTATCTACATACCACTACTCCGAAGCATATACAGGGGACCCCTGCAAGCATAGCTACCCAGAGCCCCTTGACAATGCTTGATCGTCGCAGTGGGGAAGAAAAAGAGAAAGAGATGGCAGAAAATAACAAGACCTTGACAACTTTGCAGTCAAATCCGCGTCAAGGCCCGCAGTGGGTTTTGACATATGTCATATTCAGGTGTTGAGATGTTTGGCTTATATGTCTTTGTCGGGGCGTGGGAGGGGGCTAAGATTTTCCTTTTCCAATGTATATAGTATTTATGGCGAGGCCAGTTTTGATTCTTTTGACTTTTGTATATATTATATAACAAGTGCTGATAATTAGACTACGTCTTTCTTAGGCTTAACGAGGAGAAGTTCATTCGGTGTCTCCAAGGTGAAGTGTAACTGGTGTTTGTGAAAGGGGTTTTGAGAGAGATGTCTTTAAGGCCTCGCAGTGATTGGGCTATGTGGTTTATTGCGGCTCAGTAAGTGGTTAAAAATTCTTCATTTCAACACCTAAAGCGTAAAATGCCTTGCTCCTTAATGTCCAATGTACTTCATGCATGCATGCATTAGTTTTTTCAAACAATAGACCATTGGTGTTTGTTTTACCCCGGCTGCATATCCCCCATTTTTGAGTTCCTGTATTCACATGCAATTGGAGGTTTCATACACGCTAATTGGAATTTCATCAATACCCCTTCCTCATGCGGGCGGAACCGCGCTGGCTCTTCTTGTTTGCCAAATTAATTATCAAAATAATCTTAAATTATTGATACAATTATCGAATTCATTGCAATTTATGGTTGTATGTGATCTCACCAGAGGTGGCGTCTGCAGCCTCTGCTTCTTTGCTAAGGGGACAGAACGAGCTCAGCATAATCCGCGGGTACGCGATCGCTTTGTGGTCTTCTGGTCACGACTCGTCAGTGGCGACTAGCACAGGCATTCAATCTCTGACAACTGCTCTTCAGAAGGCCTCGTCGTCCCCTCCATCGCCTCAATACCTTGCCACGCTTCGCGTCTTATGCCAGCTCTATTATCACCATCTGGGTCCATCTGGTACTGCAGCTATCTTGGATTGCCTAACAGCTGTCCCAGCTGTTTGCCTAGAGGACACGCAGCTTCAGTCAGCTGGGTTGGCAAGCGTTGTTGCGTCTCGGAGATTCATAGATATGTCCCACATGTTGAGTCTGTGCCGGACGCTTTTCGATCATTCATCTGCACACGTAGGACAGATGATTATTACAGATGCCTACTGCATTCAGGTGACTATGTCTACACCGCCACATCCTTCCGTTTCTCTTCTGCTTAGTCGAGTGGAGGGTAGTCACGCCAAAAGTCGACACCCCTAGACTGGTCGGCTGCCGCCCCGCCGACCGTTCCACTCCTCGACACCTAGTGGTCGGCGGTGGTCGGCACTCCCCGGCAAAATAGAAAGATTTGTGGGGCCCATAACGCGCAATAACCCCACCGACACCCCCATACATCCCCACCCCGCTTTCCGCCTACCCTCTCCGCCCCCCATACATCCCATCAACACCCCCATATGCCCCCCAATGCCGTAATACCCCCCCCTATAACCCCCTATACCCGCTGCATACCCCCCTTTCCTCCCCTATCCGCAAAACTTTCTCAGCAAATTTGGGCTGTACTCAGCAAGCGCAGTACAGCCCTGAAATCAGATTTGAAAAAAAAATCAGCTGATGGCCCTCTACAGAGTGGTCGGCAGATCGCCGACCGGGCGGCCCTACTGACAGGCTGCAAAACAGTCAGCGGTCGCCGTCAGCGCTCGGCAGGCGTGCAACCCTGGTCGAATGCAATTTTTCGATTTCATAACAATTGTAATCTGACAGGTCTATGCATAGCATATGCTTTTCCTTTAGGTATAACTATTGTCCCTGAGCTCCAGGTTGAAATCTGTTTTTGGAGTTGTGCCTTCATCTACTTTTAGCTTCACTTATAAGAAGTTGTAAATAAATTATACATCTTTTTTCTGAAGTCCTAGGTTATGATTTGCATTAGATGCAGCAGACGATATTAATATACTTGTGTAATCGTTTGACGTGTTCGGTATGGCATAAATGATAAATTATTAAAATTAGTAAATGCTAAAAATTGAAAATTCCCTAAAATCATAAGTGCTTTTTCGTATGAGCAACCATGAATATTAAAATTAGTAAATGCTAAAAATTCCCTACAAGCATAACTTCATAAGTGCTTTTTCGTATGAGCAACCATGAATTTGGTTAATAACTTCACGGATTGGAATTTGGAATCAATTAAGGAAAAATCCGAAAAAGGGAAGTACCAAACCATATCTGTTGTTGTGCTATGACGATTTCCTTGAAAATTACGAGGACCTATACTTCTTTTTTTCTCTAAAACAGAGAGAGAGAGAAAAAAAAAAAAAAAAAAAAAAAAAAAAAAAAACACGTCACGGATGGTCCCCCGGGGTGATATGAGCACCACAGGACCTACTCAAATTAGTACAGTAATTATAACAAGACCGATAGAATCTGCATAATGGCAATCAGCTAGCTCTGTATAACTTCACGGGCAAAGACAAAGTTCCGACAAACCCTTTATTTGCCTCGATTGGCCCTTCCGACTGTTGCTGCCTTATCGATGGATAGACCTTTTTTTTTCTCTTTTTTTTTTTTTTTTTTTTTTTTTTTTTTTTTTTTTTTTTTTCTTTTTTTTTGTAAGAACTATTTAAACAATTGTAATCCTGTCCGCTGTTCAAATATTGTTTTGGCGTTGTCCTTCTGGATATCCGTTGAAACTTGAATGAGACACAGAAGAAGATTAGCATGGCCCCTGCGAAGGGGGAAGTTTGGAACTACGAAGCTACTAGTGAACAGCACTGCCGACAGCTAAGCCGCTGGCTTGTCCGCCCAGGCAGGAAGTGGACTCTAGAAATGGCGGCCCCTTCGAGGAGTGCACCGGGGTCCGTTGAAAAAGGGTGAGTTGCAGTGGGGGCGGTCTCGAACCTTCGAGAGTGCAATACAGAGCGGGTCCTGACAGCTCTGGAAATGGGTTTCGAGAGTGCAATAGAGAGCGGGTTCTGACAGCTCTCCAAATGGGTTTCTCCAAATGGATTCATTCGTAAATTGCAGCGAAAGCCACTCGCTTTGCGTCTACTTCTAGACTTCCTTCTTCCCTCCTGCTGACTGTCCGCACCGACGCATTCAAGCCGGGCTCAGGAAAATGTGGGAGTCGACTCGATAGTAGTGGAGCTAAACCCATAATTGTGGTGAGGTACATCGAGGAAAGTCCTTGCGTTTTGTATATGCTCTACCTTCTTCACCCGAATAGAACGTACGGTCATTATTGCTGTATCTAGACTCAAAGTTGCCTCAAAAGAGTCAAAACAGCTATATAACGACCATGCGTCGTATTCAGGTGAAGAAGGTAGAGTCTAGTGCAGTGTGTCTGACAGCCTGACACCATTTCTGTTTTTTCTCTCTTGTGAGTCTTGTGAGTCTTGTCCCCTTTGTTAACCTTTTTTTCTTTTTTTGGCTGCTCGCAGGGGGACTATGCGCAAGCTGTAAGGCACTTGAAAAGGGCTCTGCACAGATACCCTCATCTTGTGTCCTTAAGGTCAGTTTTTTTTTTTTTTTTTTTTTTTTTTTTTGGGTGGGTCAGGGGACTCCTTTTATTTTTAATCTAAAACTATTAAAAATTAATATAAAAATACATATACTCTGCTATTTTATCTTCTCAGGTGTCTTGGTTTCACAACTGCATATCAAACTCTGCTGTTCTGTCTTCTCGGCGGGATCATGGGCGGATACGTGAGTCAGCCGGGTTTATTATCCCACTCTTTTGGCCACACCTTTCAATCTGCGGAAGCCAAAACTCAGCTGCGATAGCCTCGGATGGGGAAGCTCCGACTTGAGTTGAGAGATAAGACCATCTTACTAGACACAAAAAAGGGGAAGCCTGGCTTGTCCAAGAGCACGTATCCAAGTGGAGACGGTCCTCTGGGTGACGCTGCGCACGAGGAGAGTATGGGAGTGATGGGGGAAGCTGTGGAATTAGGGGCAAAGTAGGAGATGATCGTGACAGGCGTAAAGCTGATAGGTACTGTTGGCTGTAGCAACGCCGTTGATGCCATACCCTCGCAGTGGATGGAGGGTTGTTACCTCCTGAAGAGACCCGGTATGCGCCGGGGTCGAAACGCGTCGAGGATTTGCCCATGTACATGGTGTTGGCGGAGGATAAATAACCAGATTGTATCGGATTATATTTCGCATTTGTTCTCTCTCCGTGTTTTTAACAGTGTTTTCGCTGTGCTTGCCCCCTGAGCTCTGTCTGCTCAGGTTTCCCTGCTTCCCCTTTGTTTTATGAACTTTTATTTTCTCAGGCAGCATTCTACAGGGAGGGCGGGTTATAAAATTCAAATAGTGCACTCACTCCTAAAGGCTAAACTTAGTATTTACTGTTTATGCTATTGAATATTTATATATTTATATAGTAAGTTATCTTCAGTGCGTCCATCCCTTTCTTTGTTTACACTGTAGTCCAGGGTTGTTGCACACCCGCAGGCTATTTGGGTTGTTGGTGGGGTTATTGGGGGTTGTGGACCCCACAAAAAAAGCTGCTTTTTTTCTTTTGTTTCGGCACAGTGCAGACCAACAACCGATCAGTAGGTTCCGACGAGTGGAACGATCGGCTGGTTGGTCGCAGACCAATCCAGGGGTGCTGACCATTGGCATGACTGCTGTACTGAAGACCGGAAGAAAACCACCCGTGCCCCAGCTACCTTTGTTCCGATGTGCGGTTAACAGGCCGTGCCCTTGAGGGCTCGGCCTAAAATGGAATAGGCTGGTGGTGCCAGGGAGAAATACATGATTTTGCACGCGCACCTGCTCAGCAAGACTTGGCACGCTGCAGAAATCGGCATTGGAAAAAAGAGGCTCGGACATACTGTAGGGTATCTCTTCTAGTTACTGGCCTGCCTGCCCTCCATCCTTTTGTCTCCTTCTGAACTTGCTATTCACTGGACGGTTTCTTGGGCCGATTGCTGCATATTGCTCAGGGAGGAAATTAGGTAGGGAGTGAGGGAGTGGGGGAGGGAGGTAGGGAGGGAGGGAGGGAGGGAGGGAGAGAGGGAG